AAGTAAAAATTGCACTGACGTGATTGTTGTTGTCAGCTGACATCGAGAAAATAAAATTAAACTGAATCCATACTCTGAACTTTTATCAAATACTCTTGTACACATTTCTTACAGTTGACATTTTAGCATGTGACACTTGGGTGTAGTGAATGTCAGTGAACGCAACATTAACCTTGAACGTGATCATTCTGGCACAGCTAAATGGAACGCAGCCATTGCTAATTGGATTAGTTACACCTGTGCTTTTCAAAGCATAACAAATCAAAACAGCTGCTGGAAAGTAAAGCATACTTTGTGTTGTCATAAAAGCGGTATAATGGAGGGTTTACACAGATGTATGGTGAATGCTAAGCAGGTTATTTATTTATCTATACTACAAATGTATTCAGGGTACTGCTGTGAATGCACGCAAGACTACCATTCCTCTCTGGGTTCGATGCAAGGCTGTGGATGCTAATGCAGAGCGGTATTAAGTACCTTTGTACAGCAATGTAATGCACAAAATGTGTCAGCCAGTTTGTTAATGGATGTCAATTCTCTCTCACCAGTCCAAAAGCTACATGTGCAGCAGCCAGGGGAATGTGCTGTGCTTCACCATAGATTTTGCATCAGGCTTCACCTGCTCTGAAAGCACTTCAAAGGTGACATTTTACTGAGTTCACAATTCTTGTTGGCATACTGCTTCAACTGTTCTTAGTTTTGAGATGGCAGTTCAAAATCTCCTTACTGATGTTTGCTTAGGCTCTAATCGTAGCTATTTGAGGGGAAAAAAATGCTAAATTTAACATTTTGCATAAATTAATTTCTTCCATTAAGACTTTTATATCTTCAAGAATAGTATGCTATTATTAAAATGACAGTTTAATTTAGCAGCTCTGCACTGGTTAAAATCCGTCATAGAATAACTTTAAAGATGGTCCGCTGTGCTTCCTCAAACTGCACATTAAAATGACATTTCCTGATCATGCAGCCTGTTGTGCTCATTATTATTAAACCCCTCTGCTGTGTTTTTTTATCCTTCCCTTGTAGACAATACTGTGGCGATACAAGTTCTCTCAACTTAAAGGCTCCTCTGACGACGGGAAAACCAGGGTAAAGCTCCTTTTTAAGAATCCCGAAAGCAAGCAGATAGAAATGAAGGTAATAAAACATTTCTTGCCCCAATTTAATAAAATTAAAATGTACTTGTTTAATTCTAGTTGGGTTCTTTTACACTAGTGACTCAAAGTGCAGGATTTCTAATTAGTCTCTGCCTCTGTAGCACCGTGCTTAAATCAAATAGTCAAGATGTGATTAAACTGCAGACTTTTAGCTTTATTTAAATGGTTTAACTCAAATATTTTATTAACCGTTTAGGAGTTAGGGCCATTTTTAGACATGTGAAACTCTGAAAATGGGAGCCTAAGTAATTGGACAGACTTGTAAGGACTCAAGGATCTTTCTTCAATACTTGGATGAAAATTCTCTGAAGCCAGTGTCAGAAGTCTAGAACCCGTGAGCACAAACTGCTGTTTCCTGCAGCCACTTTTCGTCCATCTAAAGGGTTTTTATTTCACAACCCTTGCAGGTTCTTTTAGATGTTTTCTGACAAACTCTAATCTGGCCTTCTTGGTCTTGATTGTAACTGGTGGTTTACACCTCTGTATTTACCTGAAAGTGTCTCTTGATTGCAGACTTTGACAAGAGTGAGAGCGCTCTTGTCGTTCAGGTCTTTCAGTGTTGACAGTTGATTCCTTCGTTTTAACAGTGGACCAGATTGTTGATTTTTTTTTTAATGCATTATTGCCTTACATTTGTTAGACCTCTTGAATTTAAGCTGAATGACTGAACTTTAATCACATCAATCCACTCTAGTGATGTACCAGAAAAAAAAAGTCATTGTCTAAATATGACCTGGCTGTATATAAATCATGCTGGAAGAAGCTAGTTACCCTGACATACACTGTTATCATTCTCTTGTGCAACTCCTAGTATTGTGACAGATGTGGAGAGTGCAGATAGCATCAGCCACAACTGCCAAATTATTTATTAAACCACAATTACCTGTTAATTTCTTTAAAATCCTGTGATTTGGATTGTGAACACTAATCAGTGCGTCTCTTGTCCTTGACGTGTGCTTTTCAGGAGCTGGAGTTTGCTAATCTGACAGCCGTCCTCCACTGTATACATTCTTTTATCGCTGCCAAAGTGGCCTCCATGGACCCTCTCTTTATGTGCAGTCAAAGCTTCCTTGGAAATTACACGAACAGTTAAGACGACACGTCCTCATCGTGATGTGCACCTGAGGCAAATCAGCAGTATTTTATGCACAGAGCCCATTGATATGTATATCTTGTTCTTGCTATTTTTGTATGGACTTCTGAAAACGACATCTTTGTAAAAGACTCTTGAGGTGGGTAATGTCAGATCTACTGAAAGAAAAATGCGGTTTCGCTTTTAGACAACTATCCAGTGGGAAAAGATATACAGTTCTTCCATTCTTCAGTTTGCCCCCCCCCCAATTTGATAATTATTCAGAGTGAAACTTAACACCTATGATAAAAAAATTAAATTAAAAAAAAAGTAGCTGCCACTGTGTTTAACAGAACCTAAAAATGAATTTTGCTACATGTCTACCTACAAATATTGAAGAAATTTCAGCTGGGTAAATGAAGCGGATACTGTCACAGGGGGATACAGGATTAAAACAGGCCTTTGACAGGGATATTTCCAACAATGATGAGAAAGCGTACTCTTTTTTTTTTGTTTTTTTTTTTTAATCCCCCCAAACTTCCTGTGGTTTACCTAGTAATGTCATGTCTGAAAAAGTACCGCAAGCACCCTACAATAAAAAGCAAAAATAATAGCCTCCAAATAACCACAGAGTTGACTCGACAGCACTCTGATACGGGGCCCAGACTAAAATTAAAGAAACTTCCCAAAGGCAGCGCTGGTGCCAGGCTTCAGTACTTCACTGGTTTGGAATAATTTGCAGTTTTTTTTTTTTCTTTTTTCCTTTTTTTTTTTCAATTAAAAGGGCAAAGTTCCGGTTTTTTGCTTTTTTTTGGCAACCACCACCTTTTTAGGTTTCCCGTTTTTTTTGGGTTCTTTTTTTTTTTTTATTCTTTTTCTGAATCTCATCCTGATATGGTGAAAATACTGTGCATCTTCAACTTTCTGTAATGGTTTTAGTGTTAAATAACATGTTTGCTGTATTTTCAATAAATCGCTTACAGAGTTCAACTTTGTCATCCGAGGCATGTTACAGCTCCCTGTGGGTCTACATGTGTCTACTTTCACACTTTAGCATCTGCTAGCCCAGCTGCTGATTTCTGTCTTAATACTGCATTTGTGCGCCAAAAATACATTTTCTGTCTTTTCCAAAAACAAAAACAAAACGCTGCACAGCTGCGTTTTATTGGAAGAGCCTGTTCCACTACTTGTTTTCAACTGAACTGGGCTGCAGCACAGTCTCAGTAAACTGAGTAGTTTAATTCTGTGAGTTAGTAACTTGAGTCTTTTCACCAAGAGGTCACCGATCAGAGAATAACAACAAGTACAAGGTCAACAGACAGCTGTTTACAAACTGTTCCTTTAGCCTGTGTCTCCTGGTCCGTGAACTTTAACTCGGTACAGTTGTCTTTGCTGCCCGCAATAAACCAGGGAATAGTAACCCAGACTTTTTGTTTTGTTAGTTTTTCTTTCTTTTCTTGTTTATGTGAAGTTGTCTGGAGTTCTCCAGCCAGCATATTAATTCATTTACGGGTTAATTTAATGATTTTTGTCATCTATGGGGCAATAGAGTTAATTATTCCCATTGTCCTTTTTGCTGTTCTGCTTCCGCTGCTCAAACTGTCACACCACATCTCGAACTCCATACACACTGGTCGACAGGTCACAAGCAGTTTGAACCGAACAGGATATGTTACTTGTGTGCCGTTGAAGAGAAAAGCTTGCACTGGCTCCTCGCAGGTGAGTAATGACAGCTCATGTACTTTTTTTTCCTTTCTTTGAAAAGAAAGAAAGAACAAAGATCAGGTGGGGCCTGTCCTGGAGGCATTGCTGCGAGGGACTAAACCTTTCTGTGTAGGTGTTCTCAGTCTAAACTGCTTGAATTGAAGGCAGTTGGGCTTCTTTTAGACTCTTTAAGGTTTTTCATCTCTTTTCCAAAAGGCCGTCAGTTTTCCACAGTGGTAGTCAGGACATGTCAGGTCATGTTTTTGTGATGCTGCCCCACCCTTCCTTTATGACAGTAAATAAACTGATTGTTGTTAGTGACTCATTTGTGCTTTCATTGTGCATCATAATGACAAGGCTATGGGTGTGCCCTTGGGCATTTAGTTCCACAGTTCGCTTATTCTTAATTAACCGCAGGTGTGGCAAATATTTAATACATGTGGGCAGGATAATCATTTTTCTGTCATTTTCCTGCTACATCCTCCTTGCCTCAATATTAACAACAGCCAGCAGCCACATTATAAAAACTAGCTTTCTGCTGCTGTAACGCAACTAGATATTCTTCCTTGTTGGAATTCCAAATATTGTGTCTTGTATGTATGACTTCTGTGTATTTATTATTTCATTTAACGCTGCAGTGTTCAGTTTGATCATCAATGCAACGATCAACTTGAAATGCTGCATTCCTACGTAGGTTGTAGCAGCAGTCGCAGTGTGAGGACTTTCCCCAAATTTAATTAATAACCAATACAAAAGCCAACTTCCAACCTCTCCTACTACCGTGCTAGCACAGCAATGTCAAGACACGACAGGAAAGAAAATAAAATAGGTGGACAGACGTCTGTATGCAGGTTAAAGTGATTGTAACGAGGATAAAACACAATGTTGGAATGCCACGTTACAGCTAGTTCTAGTGAAGTATTCCCATTTTTTTAACATCACACCCATTATGACACCTGTGTTGCAATATTTCATTCTAGCTAGCAAGACCTATAACAGCACAGGTTGTTCATGTACATTTTTAAACAGATAGCCTCCAGGTAAGAAAATTCACAGTCAGCAAAACATCAAGCAGCAGAAAAAATTACTGTACATCCACAAAGTAAATTCCTTCTGTCAAAACCAGTTTTGTCCTTGAGAATTTCTGCAGTAACTCTGCACTTCCCACTGAGCATGTGCAGAGTAAGTAACAGTTAAACCCTTATATTCCAAGACACAGAAGTGAGTGTTTAGGTTTGGGCCTCTGTGTGTATATGTCACACACTCGTGTAATGATTCATACTTTTGGCCTGAGCTGGATTATTGACACAGATTGTTAGTTGATATTTTTTCCTGTGTTTTTAGATTATGGCAGTGATACCGGTGGTTGCGCTATACATTTTAAACCTGGTATCATATATTGTTTGATAAAATATTCAAAAGGACCCTATAATAAGAACTTTTTTAAAGGAGCAAATACTTATTTTTTTTTACTAACATACTACTAGATAATTACTAGAAAAAAAAAATCCAAGGTCCACACAGCAATCGATTAGATATTAACATCAAACTGTTTTATACCGAATAAAAAAAAGAAGTAAAATTCTGTTTTACGAAGATGCCCCGAGAGATTTTCTATTACTAAACAGAACTGAAATCCTGCTCCTCACATACAAGGTCTTAAATAATCAGGCCCCATCTTATCTTAATGACCATGTAGTACCATATCACCCTATTAGAGCACTTCGCTCCCGCTCTGCAGGCCTACTTGTTGTTCCTAGAGTATTTAAAAGTAGAATGGGAGGGAGAGCCTTCAGTTTTCAGGCCCCTCTTCTGTGGAACCAGCTTCCAGTTTGGATTCAGGAGACAGACACTATCTCTACTTTTAAGATTAGGCTTCAAACTTTCCTTTTTGCTAAAGCATATAGTTAGGGCTGGACCAGGTGACCCTGAATCCTCCCTTAGTTATGCTGCAATAGATGTAGGCTGCCGGGGGATTCCCATGATGCATTGAGTTTTTCCTTTCCAGTCACCTTTCTCACTCACTATGTGTTAATAGACCTCTCTGCATTGAATCATATCTGTTATTAACCTCTGTCTCTCTTCCACAGCATGTCTTTTATCCTGTCTTCCTTCTCTCACCCCAACCAATCACAGCAGATGACCCCGCCCCTCCCTGAGCCTGGTTCTGCCGGAGGTTTCTTTCTGTTAAAAGGGAGTTTTTCCTTCCCACTGTCGCCAAAGTGCTTGCTCATAGGGGGTCATATGATTGTTGGGTTTTTCTCTGTATCTATGAAGCGCCTTGAGGCGACTTTTGTTGTGATTTGGCGCTATATAAATAAAATTGAATTGAATTGAATTGAATGAAAAATGTACCTTCACTGGCCGTCTGTAACCTGTGGCTTGGGTAGGCTGCATACTGATGCATGCTGCTTCAGTTTTGACTGTCACCATCTGTAAGTGTTTTATGTATATATGCAACTTTGTTTAAAAATAAACAAAACAAAAGGACTGAGTTTGTGCTTACTGCTGACCTTTTATTCTAAAAAGATGTGAAAGTGGGAAACTGCAGAAAGCAACAGCGGTTAGAGATGGACTGTCAGTAAAACTGAATAAAAGATATTAAATGGGATATTTGCATGATAATACATCAGGCTATGGTGGAAGGAATGCACACGCTTCATCCTCTACAAGCTCTGATTTATTTAGTGAAAAGTTTGGGCTTAAACAGCTTGAAAGATAAAAGCAGCCTCCGTGTTTTCAAAAAAAGAGGTGATATGATCTCAGCTCACTGCTGAAGTCACTAAACACACAAACAGCATCACGGAGTTACATCAGCAACATGTCAAGCATGAATTTCAAGCACTGAGCTCAACTTTCAATGGGCCGTGACTCTCACAGTTGGCTTCACTTGCAGCATTGGAAACCGTGTGCTAACTGGAGTATTTGTGATGGAAAATTTTCTTGGAAATTTTGGAACTGCCGCCGTGACCTTTCTGTGTAACTGTTCCCTGCAGACAGCATATAAAACTGAAAATATACTCAGGAAGGAAAAAAGGAAGCAGGGCCGTATATCTGCCAAAAATGACTGCAGCTATAATTGTTTCCTTTTTATTACAACAATAATGTTTAAGAAGAAAAAAATTAATAAAAAGGTACTGACAAGCCCTCACATGTAGATGACCTTAATATTGTGTTCCTGGAAGTCTGCTAGGTTGAATGTTGTTTAAGCAGCCAACACATTCAGCACAACAGCTTTGCATGATATTTTAAAATATGGATTAAATGAATAGCATCATTATAAAAATGTCTATGATATTAACAGCATGGATCTCGACTAAACTGCTAATTTTGGAAATTGAAACTCATTTTAGAGATCTTATTTAAATAAGTGGTTGTTATTGGGGTTCATATAGCTGAGTTTCACTTGCTTTTCTGTTTAAAGGTGCCCTGTGGAGATGGCTTTATGAAAAAAAGAGATGTGAATACATCCATTTATAATGGTTTAAACTACTGGTCTTATATCTATATCCTCTTTCATGTTTAATTGGTGAGTTTATTAGTATATTAAGTTAATAATGGATTGGATTTATATAGCACTTTTCAAGGCACCCAAAGCGCTTTACAATGCCACTATTCATTCACTCACGCACTCACACACTGGTGGAAGCAGCTACGGTTGTAGCCGCAGCTGCCCTGGGGCAGGCTGACAGAAGCAAGGCTGCCATATCGCGCCATCGGCCCCTCTGGCCAGTAAATTAGTAAATTAGTATAAGAAATAAATGATACAGAGTGCGCTACATTTTTAAAGTAAATTGCAAACAGTTATTGGGCATTTTATCCATTGACTCTAATATAATCATATCTTTCTGCAAAAAGTGTAGTCACCCTCCAAAGTTTTTTAATTAACAAATGTGCACTTCTTCATTTTTCACACTGAGAATGTAGAGACTGCCTCTGTGCACCACCACAATTGATTTTAAATCAAACAATAAAGATGTGGTTGAATTTTATTAATAAAGATTGTAAGAGGCTAAAAAGAA